ACATGTAAAGGTCATAGTTACCTTCCCTTGACATCCTGATAGTTAATGCAGACACCCCTGCATTTTCTGCTTACTTCATTACTTGTATTGGCTACCCACCATTTCTTGAGTGCAGGAACAGATGTGGCCATCTCCCACCTTTTCCTCATCCACTATGAATGCACCCCCAACCCATGTTTCAAAGCTCTGTTCTGCTTCAAAGGTATTGTTTCAGCTATTATTTTCCATCCTGAGGCATCTTAAGTTCTTCTGGATGAATAGTCAACTGTGCTTCATTTTAGTCTAGCAATATATCCTGCACAGATTGGCTACAATGCCTAGTGCATCTCCTCCCTTCCAGTGACTGGTTCATGTCTTGTATTATCATTTTATCCTGGATTGCCATAGTCTTATCTGATCAGAAATTTCCTTTCCCTTCTCTTCTAATGGATCCAATAGTGTCCCACACAGTCCCTGGAGCCCAGTAAAATCTTCTGCTCATATTTTTGCCCTCACTTTTCTGTCAGGATACTTCTGTCCAACCCATACATCTCACAATGTGTCGGAGGAAGAAAGGTGTAGACCTCCAAAATCAATGTTACTCCTTTGCTTCTATGAACCTGAACCATTAGCTCTTCATTGTCATGAAGTTTCTAAGCATTTAAAGTGCAATAAAGGAATTAAGGAACAACTGTTCCTTTTGCTTTTATCATTGGAGCACCACAGCAATGAGGGAACAAGTAAGGATTGTGGGAAGGCAATATGGAGGCATCTGTGTATTCCATCTAGTCAGGTGTGGGATTCTACCGGTTCTGACCGGTTCTATAGAACCCCTTATTAACTTTCTAAGCAGTTTGGAGAACCGGTAGTTAGAAGAAATCTCCTTTTGTTTTTTTCTACCCTTATCACATTCTTGGCAGTATGTCTAGGCTTACTGTCTGTGAAGGACGTTTTTCTTTTATTCTTGACACTTTCTTAAAGGGGAAGGGTTGTTTTAAGCTTTTTACGCTGCTGTTGGGAGGAAATACTCCCTGGAAATACTTCTTTTGGCTAGCTAGAAAGATTGACATTCAAACATGAGTTTACATACCCTTTCTGAGTTTTTTCTAAAACTGGTTTTTGGTGAAGTTTAATTCTGTGCTTGGTGACATTTATTGATGGGATAATTTTCCCTATTCAGCTTTGTTTGGAAGGAAAAAGATTAATCTCTGTTCCTGAAAAGAAACTGGGTTGAGAAATCTGGCTAGTTCCCATGTCTATTTGTTCTGGTAATTGGTTTAACAAGGAACAGCTACTATTGTGATTTAATAATTTGTATTGTGTTTGAAGTTTTTTCTACCTCATGGTTCCTTTTTCTATCTGGGGAGGGGGTCTTCCTTCACTGCTTTAGTGGTATCTGGCACTGTCCTTTTGGGGTGTACTTCCAAGAGTCAGGATGCAAGGTTGGCACTATTTTTTTATTGCCTTTCTGGGGGGCATGTGACCTTTCCTTAAATCTTGATTATTTCCTTAGGATATCTTGTGAGATGAGTGAGACCAGCTGGTATCTTTAAGTGGTGCAAATGGATCTAAGGATTGCTTTTCCTGGGTGTGCTCTTTCTGGAGAAATTAAATGACCTCTCTGCTAAAGGTTTCACTTTATGAGCAAGAGTTGGCTGCTAATAGTTATCATTGCATTTTAACTATTTTAATTCCTCAAGGTGCTCTGGCACCCTGCCTGATTTGTAACTCCAGCTTGCAGGTATTTTTAATCTAATGATTGGTATTTAGGGCAGCTTTTTGCAAGCAAAGAAGCTTTTTGTATTTTTGTACAGGTAATTCTTGACTTACAACAGTTCATTTAGTAAACATTCAAAGTTACAATGGCACTGAAAAAAAGTGACTTGTGACCGTTTTTCACACTTACGGCCATTGCAGCATCCCCACTGTCATGAGAGGCCAGAAGCGCCCCTTGATGTGAGTGATGTCGAGTTGGCCACGCCCACGCAGTCACATGACCAACCCACACCCACCAACTAAGCCACGCCCACATAACCGGTTGTTAAAAAATTTGAATCCCACCCCTGCATCTAGGAAAGCAAAGGAAAAGGATTGGGATTAATGAGGAGGGAACTGTCCCTAAAAAGAAAGGACAAGGAAGACTTACCCACGCGGAGCGGAGGCCATCGGCATGGATTGGAAAGGCAGGAAACAGGGGAAGGATCAGACAATGTTAAAGCTGAGCAACAACTGGCTGGCCCCATTGCCACTGCGCTCCAGACAGGAATTTATGGAGTCACTTTGCGAAACAAGCAGGAACAGCACAGGAGACAAATTGTTCTGGCTAGTGTGCAGAATTGCCCTGAAAGAGTCCTAGGGCAAGGCATGCAATAAACCCAGTCTGAATCTCACCCTGATTCTGCCTCAGTCCCTCCCATAAAGACAGAAAAGCCCAAGCCAGCAGTTGTAGAGGGCATTTCCTTTTTCCTCGTCCCTGTGCTATAATTTGTAACAAGTCCTTACAAGACAAGGAGGGAGGGCTGGTGAGAAGATAAAAACAGCAGCAGGAAGCAAAAAAAAACAAAAACACCAAATAAACCAGGAGAGGGAGAGAGAGAGGGAGAGGGAGGGAGGGAGGGAGGGAGGGGAGAGAAAGAGAGGCCAATTACTGCTAAAAACTGATAAAACAATCCCACTCTCATCAGAGCACGTCTTTCTTCTTCACTATTTTTATCTTACTTCATTAGTTGATCATTATTGTTTTCACATCTCCTCCCAACTCATGTCATCTTTATTTATTTACTGAGCTATTGCTGTTTCTGGCTATATTTCCCTTGTTTATTTGGCCCAGATACAAGTGGTTTGAATCCCTAATCCGTTTACTTGAATTGCAAATAATTTTTCCTGTGTGTTTTTTTTCTGTGCAAAAATACATTAAAATATTACATGCGCATTCAATAACAGGCCCAACTGCCTTTCCTCAGCAGGCAAAAGCCGGACCTGAAAGAAAATGGTGCATGTGACATTTGGATCTTAGTTTGTTTCCTGTCTCAATACACTATGTGGGGAAATCAATGCACCTAATTTGTAATTATAGGGGTCTGTATATAGTAGGAAGATCTAGAAGTTCCCTCTAATTACAAATTAAATGTTCTAACTTCCTAATACATTTATCAAGGCAGGAAACAAAGCATAATTCAGGCGTAATGTGCAGTATGTTCTTTGTCATTTATATTTTTGTTGTATGTGTGCGGGGGTATACACACATTGCCAGTTAGAGTGAATATAAATAGATGTAAAAAAGAAAAGAAAAGAAGAAAAGCCTTTTTTTTAGTACTACAACAAAAACTGAACAGCAACCTTTCATATTTAGAAACAAACAGCAAAAGAGATTTAGAGATTTGGAAAGGACAAATACAAGAGACCATCCTTTAGAGTTGATAGAGAACTTTTCAGATTTCCCTGTTCTTGATTCCTACATGTAAGGTTAGAAACCGTGCTTTGAGCTTTAATTTTAATACTTTAATTTGTCACATGCCAAAAGACACTAAGATGCTTCAAACAGACATCCGCCCCCAGGGGCTTACAATTTAAACTGCACATTATGCCTCCATTGACTATATTGCAACTAAGCCATGCAATTAGTGTTGCAGTAATTGAGAGAGTTTACTTAATGTGGTAAATTGCTCCATCCTCTTTATTGCCTCTTTGGCTGCTTTTAAACCCTTTTAAAGGCATCAGTAACAGGATTCCTCTCTCAAACAGATTAATTTCTCTGCAGTGCAACTTTTCCCCATCTCTCCATGACAGCAGCTTACAATTTCATTTGTACACATTTGTAATCTCCACTGTTCACTGTGTACCACAAATCTTTCCCTCTTTTGATATTTACTCAAGCCTTAGCAATGCATCACAGTTGCCCTTGGGCATTTCGCCCAGCACATGAAAAGCTTTTGCTGGGCTAGGCACCCAGGTCTTGTGTAATCCCAGAAAAGTGAATGTGTAAGTGTGTGCTTTGTTGTCTTGACCGTGGGTTATCTCAGTGCTCATGTAACTAAAAAAAAACAACAAAAAAAAAACCACCCCACACAACATAATTAAATGTCAATTCCATTTGTCTCTTCATTGGAAGTAGTCTTACTGCACAAAGGAAAATAAATATTAAGGATCAAATTGAGGGTACAGAAACAGTGGCTGTGTGCCTTTACAATGAGAAAGCTGGATCTCTCCAGATGTTCCTGAAGCACAATTCCCAGTCCTGAACATACTATGAACTGGAGGCTATCCTGACTAGGGTTTTGCAGTGCTTTAGACATGATTGAGAAGTGGTGTTGTGGAATTTCTGACTCTTCAAAGCAGCCGTGTCTATTTCCAGGACTGCAGTTGTTGCAGAATGACTTTTCCTTCCATCGCACAATGGTGGGGAAAAAAATGCAGCTGCTTTAATGGGTTGCAAGCAGGTGCTGGCTTCATGCTTTTGCTCATCCCAGAAGACCTCTTCCTAACTGAATCAGAAGCATTGCGCAAACCCCAGCAAATCAACAACATCTCGATGAAATATCTTTAGAATAATTAATTCAGTTGAATGACTTGCCTCCAAAAGTTGTGGGTGTTTCAACACAGGAGGTTTTTGAGAAGAGATTTGTACAGCTTTTTGTCTGAAATGGTATGGGGTCTGCTGCTTGAACTAGAAGACTCCAAGGTCTTCTTCCAACTTTGTGATTCTGTTAAGGCTCAAAATTCTGCTCTCCACACTGCTTTAGCAATAAAAGTGAGTATAGAAAGCTATAAATGATGTATGTAGTTTACTGAGGATAGAGGACTGGCCCACGGACAGCAAAGGACAGGGTAATGCTACCTCCCTCATGCCATACACAAGCTGATTTAGCTAAGAGTTGAATCCTGCCTTAATAATAGCAAAATGTATAAGGAAATATGATAGATATAATTTTCAACAGCTTAATTTCTTGGGCCTCTTTTGCCTTTTGGCTTCTCTCTGTAATACAGGCCCCATATTTGTTTACTCCTCCAAATGTACTCACATTTTTTTTTGCTGTTTTCATCACTGTCCCTTTGTTTGCCTTTAATCTGCTCAGCAGTTCAAGCTTAAAAGTGAATAAACAGTGTTTTATCATTCAGAGGCTAGGAAAACAGAAACAAACAGTGAAAACAACTCAACAGCAAGGTGAAGGGACAACCAGAATCGGCAATGACCCCTTTGACTCAAAAGGCTTGACAGGTGCCCAAAGGTGGTATAACTTGGCCTTGTCCCAAATGGTAGACAGGATCTGAGGATGCAGATTATTTTATGGCAAGATTTGGCTGAAGTATTTGGACTAAAACTGTCACAAGCCCAGCAGGTAGGAATATTAGATATTGAAGGCCAGGGGTGTCAAACTCGATTTCATTGAAGTCCGCATTGGGTGTGTTTGACCTCAGAGGGCTGGGGTGAAAGTGGACAGGGTGGGCACAGCCAGCTTGACGTCACTCGTGTCGGGGGCACCTGTGGTGACCTGAGTGCTCTGTCAGCGAAAACGGGCTCCCGAGCTCCGTTTATGGCTGCAACGGCCTCCTGCAACCCTCTGCCAGTGAAAATGGAGCTCAGGAAGGCCTGCTGGCAGACGCTCCATGGGCTGTTTTCACTGTTTTCAGGGCGGCCCTGTGGGCCAGATCTAAGCGCCCCATGAGCCAGATGCGGCCCACGGGCCTTGAGTTTGACACCCCTGTTGTAGACCAACATGGTATGCTGTGATGGCCACACTTACTATTGGCTGTTTTGCTTCACACATTTCAATCCTTCTCAGTCTCTTTTCAGTGTGGGAAGTTATTAAAGTTGTCTCTCCAAATGACTGATATTAAAGTACTACGTTTTGTATCCTGCGTCCATCAAGGAATTCCCTCTGGAATCGGTGTCAGATAACAGGTAGTCCTCAGGTTAGGACTAGAATTGAGAATGGAATTCCCATCCCTAAATAATACAGTTGGAGAGTGCAATGTCATGTGACCATGTCACACAGTGATGGCAATTCCTGCAGTTGCTCTTGTAACTTTAACACGCCTGGCTTCTTAATCAGGAAGTGGTGGGGTCATAGGTAAGGTGAATGGGGTCCCATGTGGGGGTGGGAGTGATTAGAGAGGGCTGGTGTACATGAATGGGGAATGGGGTGTGTGTGTACTGCAGTGAACTAAAAAAAAGGCAAGGAAAGACTACACTGTGGCTCAGGGCAATAAGGGTATTCAGCTGGTTCACACTGGTTTGGCGAACCGGTAGCAAGAATTTGGTGTGAGTTGTCAGTGGTAACTTCTGGCTGGCCACGCTCCTGACCCAGTCGCCTGGTCACCACTCACTTGCTTGCCCCACCCACCCAATGGCCACTCACCCCACCCGCCTGATGCTAGCCCGCCCAGTCACTCCTTAAGGTATTTCTTTTTTCCTCCTCCGGACAATCAGCGGTTCCTACGATCAGCTGTGCTGGGATTCCCCTCACTTACTTACTGCTTCGCCCAGGAGGCTTCCCTGAGGCCCAGGAAGAAAAAAAAAAAACCTCTGCCCCCCCCTCCATTTTTTGCCTTCCTGGGCCCCAGGGAAGCCTTCTGGGAGCAAATCGACCCCCAGGAGGCTTCCTTGAGGCCCAGAAGGCCCCAAAACAAAATGGGGGGTGTGTGCTGTGCATCCCCTCAGGGTCAGTTTTCTGCCTTCCTGAGCCCTAGGAAGCCTTCTGGGAACAAAAACGCCCCCTCCCCCAGGAGGCTTGCCTGAGGCCCAGAAGGCCCAAAAACCGGGGGGTGGGGTGGTTTGCTGCAAAAAGCAAAAAACACAAAAACACAAAAACCCACGCTCACCTAGTCACATGGCCATGCCCCCTAGCCACGCCCACAGAACTGGTAGTAAAAAAAATTTGAATCCCATCACCGCTCTGAGGCTTTTTGCAGACCTAGAGTCGCAGCACACCGGAATCTCCTTTGTGCTGTATTGCACAGCCCAGCCCCAGCTCCAGAGCCATGATGCGCCAGGAAGTCCCTTTGCACTGCATGAAGCCCAGCCCAGTCACAGCCCAGCCTAGCAGCGTTGCATAAAGCCACTGTGTCCTAGGAAGCCCCAGACATCCCAGTCCAGCCCCAGCTACAGCTACAGTCTCATCAGCAGCAGGATCAAGGAGAGGACAAAGGTCAGCTGGGGCATCAGGGACCGCAGAGCGCAGGGGGGCAAAAGGGCATAGATGGGACAACAGGCAGGTGGAGGGAGTTGAAATGCCCTTGTAGTTACAAGTGGGGTCAGGCTACCAAAGCACCCAAATTTTCATCATGTGATAACAGGGGCGTTGCAACGGCCATAGCTTTGTGATTATAAGTTCCTTCGTTCAGCACCACCGTAGCTTCAAATTGTTGCTGAGTGAACGGCCATAAACCTCACAACTACTGATATTTTCCAAATAGGGTTGTTAAGTGAACACGTCCTAGAGCTCCCATGTCAGGGAGTTATGGGAGAAGCCAGGGACATGAGTAAGCAAAGAGATAGCATTAGAGTGCTCTGCAGATGCTTGGATTACTACCCCTAAATCCCTGATCAGTAGTTATGCTGGCTGGACATCCTTACCGCAATGCCGAAATGAATGTGGCCTGAAATCAGGAAGAAACAGGAATTAATTCACCATGCTAATTTTGTAGGAATTTTCCATCTTTTATCGTATGATTGAAGGGTGACAATTGGGACATCGGGGTGACCTCTGGGATAAACTCACAGTATTTCTCCCAATTTCCTGTGGCATGCACATACATTGAGGAAATGTCCACACATGCACATGTGAAACATGTCCTTTGAAGGAGGGTGGAGGGAAATCCCCATCTATCCCTCTGCAAGCTTTTCAAATGCTCTCTTGACCTGTGACGGATCTGTAGGGACAGCCATTCTGGGGGGGAAAGATTGGAATAGAGAAACAAGAGACTGTAGGAGCATGATATGTTCCCACCCATTTTGCGCTGCATAACTTCCAGTTGTAGCATCCCCAGGCAGCTTTTCAATGATGAAAAATTACTGGATCCAATCTACATCCATGGATCTCATCCTTTGCTACCAAGGGTAGAACTAATGAATGAATAGCCTATGAGGTCCTTCACCTGTTGGATTCTGAATCCTTAGCTAGCATGGTAAAGAGTCAGCAGCACAGGCAACTGTGGCACCACAACTGAGCCCAACATTCATGTTGCTAAGTGAGACATTGGGTTAAGTGAGTTTTGCCCCATTTTGCAACTTTACTTGCCACAGTTGTTGAAGTGAATCATTGCAGTTGTTAAGTTAGTAACCTGGTTGTTACGTGAATCTGTCTCCCCCACTGAAATTTGCTGGTCAGTAGGTCGCAAAAGCAGATCACATGATTCCTGGGACACTGCAATTGTCATAAATAGAAACCAGTTGCCAAGCATCTGAATTTTGATCATCCATGGGGATGCTGCAACAGTGTGAAAAACGGTCATAAGTCACATTTTTCAGTGCCGTTGGAACTTTGAGCGGTCACTAAATGAACTTTTGTAAATCTAGGATCACCTGTAATGGAGTTTCTGGTTCAACAATATCTGGAGCACTGAAAGATTCCTACCACTGAATGTGTCTTTCCAGGATTGTGTGAATGCCTCCCCTCTCCTGTACAAATTTACACAACAATGATCACAGGTCCTTTATCCTATAAACAAAGTAGAGCATTATTATTTAACTTACTTTGTGTCCAGATTATTTCCTTGCTGGCAAAGAGCCACAGCATAATTTTCTGTAAATCCAAGAATCTCTAGATGGGTTGCACTGCATCTGTCCATCAGCATAGTTAGATGGGAACCTCACAAAGGAGTACAAAGTTACTTGGTTTGGACACTATAGAAACAGAAGAGGTGGGTGTGCTTGAACTGGAACAGCATTTCAGTTTTAGGTATTTTCTCTGAATCAATGGGAGTTTCTTTTCACAGGAAGTTCTCAGTGTACCTTACACTGGAATATTGTTTATCGTTGACTGATAAGACAATCCAATCAATGTTTGTTGGGAAATCATGTTTGTTTAGATCAATAGCCCTCGACTCCCGAGCAAATACAAGAACATTTGTTGCATGAAACTTAAACCAGCTGACTCTAACATTTCCATATAGTTTAATTTTCACAATCGCCTTATCTATGAGTAATCCAGGGATTATCTATTTTTCATAGTATTTTGGTTAAAAATTTGAGGGTCAGCTTATCTGTGGATGGGTTTATCTGCAAGTATACATACATACATACATACATACATACATACATACATGGCAATACTTTTTATGAAATATCCATATACCCCATAAATACTTGTGTGCATAAGTCCATTCACAAACTTGATGAACCCATTTTGGGGGATGTATTTTGGTACCTGAAATTCTCAGCTAATTCCCAAAAATAAATGATAATAAAATCATACAATATAAAATAAGTACAGATATACTGGATGACATGTTGCTTGAGAGTAATCTGTTTTAATCAATTGTCAGTATTCAATGTTTTCAAGTCTGGCATCGGTACAGGAAATCTTGGTAGTAAGAATTTGGACTGTTCTTACAGGGGAGGGTATTTTATTTTGTTGGGGGCTTTATTGGTGCAAATATTTGCAGTTTGAGAAAACCAGTCTTGTTGTTGGTTTGCTTCATTCGATGCATTTGTCTGTCTCCTTGCAAGCAACTCTGGGTGGCTAATTTAAACCAGTGGCCCCCAACCTTTTTTGTCCCACGGTCCGGTACCGGCATCACAAAATGATCCACGGACTGGTACCGGCATCAGCACGCATGACCAAGGCAAGGCGAGCTGAGCAACCGGCCAGCCAGCCGTCCCCCGCTTCTCCATGCCACCTTCAACTCCTCCTTTGTACCTTTGTCAATGGGCTTTTCGGGCTCTTTCTTAATTTCCTCCTGAGTAACGCGAGACTCCACCGCCATCGGGATGGCTCTTTGTTTGAAGCCGCCCCCCCCTCGACGAAACTAAGGCGCGAGGATTCCTTCAGCACCCAAACGCTGCTTTCCAACCGACGACTGACAAGCTCACCCGGAAGCACTTTCTCAAGCGCCGTCGAAACAAGATGGCGGCGCCCACTTCTTTGCGGCCCGGTAAAAAATGATCCACAGACCGGTACCGGTCCGGGGCCCAGTGGTTGGGGACCACTGATTTAAACAACGGCAATAATTGTGAATAATAACAATCCAGAGAGAGAGAGATACAGTAAAAAAAATAAATCATTATTACATACACACACCTGTAGTGCTGGGGTCAAATCGCTTCACATAAATATTAACACACTAATGGCCCACACAAATCTTGGCCTAAAGCCCCGGACCTTCTTCAGGACCTTTCTTAAGGCCATCAAAGCCATATGGATCTTGGAATGGGGTGGGGCTGGCTTTCCTGAGGGCAGAGGCACAGACAGAGAAGACATGCTCCCTGGAGCCTGCCAGATTTAATAGATGGGATCTGGCACAAGCCACCCCATTGTGACTAAATTATTCCAATTCAGAGTTAAATTATAACTGTTAATAAATCCAGGGTTCTTAACTTTCCTAGTATTTCTGCTGATCAAAGTACTATTGTTTGTGCAATCGCTTGGCACTATCCCTGAACAACAGCAGGCTTGGGAGATGCAGGAAGTTTGCAGAAGAACCCCCCCCCCCAAAAAGCGGGGAGGGAGTACTGGTGGGCTGATAACAGATAATCAGAGTTGGAAGAGACCTTGTAGGTCATCTAGTCCAACCCCCTGCCCAAGCGGGAGACCCTACACCATTTTTGACAAATGGGAGTCCAATTTCTTCTTGAAAGTCTCAAGTGATGGTGCTCCCACAACTTCCGAGGGCAAGCTGTTCCATTGGTTGATTGTTCTCACTGTCAGAAAGTTTCTCCTTATTTCCAGGTTAAATCTCTCCTTTTTCAGTTTCCATCCATTATTCCTTGTCTGGCCTTCGGGTGCTTTAGAAAATAGCTTGACCCCTTCCTCCCCGTGGCAGTCCCTCAAATATTGGAAGACTGCTATCATGTCTTCCCTGGTCCTTCTCTTCACTAGATTAGCCAAGCCCAGTTCCTGTAACCGTTCTTCATTTGTTTTAGTCTCCAGTCCTCTAATTGTCCTCGTTGCTCTTCTCTATACTTAAATAAAAAAGAAGTCTAACATCCGTATAAAAGAGTCTCAACATCTTTTTTATAGTGTGGTGACCAAAACTGGATGTAGTGCTCTAGGTGTGGTCTTACTAAGGCTTTATAGAGTGGTATTAGTACCTCAGTTGATCTTGATTGTATCCCTCTGTTAATGCAATTTAGGATTGCATTAGCTTTTTTGGCAGCTGTTGCACATTGCTGGCTCATATTTAGCTGGTTGTCCACTAAGATTCTAAGATCCCTCTCATAGTTACTGCTATTGAGCCTGGTTTCACCCAGTCTATATGTGTACTTTTGGTTTTTCTTGCCTAAGTGTAGGACTTTACTTTTCTCTACATTGAATTTCATTTTGTTAGATATGTCCCAGTGTTCTAGTCTGTCAAGATCCATCTGGATCTTGAGCCTATCTTCTTGGGTGTTAGCTATTCCTGCCAGCTTAGTATCATCTGCAAATTGGTAAGTCTCCATTCTATTCCCTCATCTAAGTTGTTAATGAAGATATTGAAGAGTACTGGGCCTAAGACGGAACCTTGTAGCATCCCACTGCTTACTTCCCTCCATGTAGACTTAGATCCATTAAGGACTACTCATTGAGTACGGTTTGTCAGCCAGTTGCGGATCCATCTGGTGATGGTGATATCTATCCCACTTTTTTCTAGCTTACCAAGAAGTAGGTTGTGGTCAACTTTGTTGAATGCCTTGCTGAAATCTAAATATGTTATGTCCACAGTATTTCGCTGGTCTACTAATTTAGTCACTATGTTGAAGAATGAAATAAGATTGGTTTGGTATGATCTGTTTTTAACCAACCTGTGCTGACTGCTAGTTATTACTTGACTTGTATCAAGATGTTGGCAGCTGTTTTTTAATTATCTTTTCCAGTATCTTCCTGGGTATTGATGTTAGGCTGATTGGTCTGTAGTTTCCTGGGTCTGGTTTTTTCCCCCCTTTTTTGAAGATGGGAATCACATCAGCTCTTTTCCAGTCCTCTGGTAGTTCCCTGGTGCTCCAGGATTTTTGAAAGATATGGTGCAGTGGTTCTGAGATGACCTCTGCCAGCTCCTTTAAAACTCTGGGATGTAATCCGTCAGGCCCTGTTGATTTGTGTTCTTCAAGACCAGACAGGTGTTCTCTTACTATTTTTTTGCTTATTTTAACTTTTATTTCTGGTCTGTCTTTTACAGTTATGTTTTTGGTGGGTTGAGCTATAGTTTCTTTTTGCGTGAAGACCGATGCAAAGAATGAGTTAAGCAGTTCTGCTTTGTCTCTGTTGCCTGTTACTTCCTTGCCATCTTCTCTCCTTAGTGGACCGGCTGCTTCCTTGATCTTTTTTCTTGTTATTTATATGATGGAAGAAACTTTTTAAAAAATTATCTTTGACTTTTGTAGCAAGTCTTTGTTTGTCCTGAGCCTTTGCTTTCCTGACTTAGTCTTTGCGGATTCTGGCTATCTTTGCAGATTCTGGCTGCAACTGGTTTAACAACTGGCTTGGTGAACATGCACGCAGCATTCAAAAACAGCCCATTTTAAGCTTAAAACTTACCTTCTTCGTCAGCGCTGGTGAGTAAAACAGCGGAGGCGAGGCAATCCACTGTGCCGCATGACTCAGCTGAGCTAAAAAACAGGGAAATATAGGCCAGGAAAGGCCAGGAGCAGGTGGGTGGGGCCAACTGCTCACTGGAACTACCACTGCGCTAGAACCCGTCCAAACCGGTAGGAGCCCACCACTGGACTGGAGGGTCCTTTAAAAACAGTACTTATACAGTAGATATGGGTTTTTGATGGATTCTGGAGTTAGTGGAAATATTTTATTAATTCAATGTATACTTCGCAAACTCCAAGACCAATAAACACAGACCAAGACTCCCAACCAATCAGGATGAAGAAAAAACTATTCTGGCACAAGAGTAGGCTAGCACCAAATTTAAAACAGGAACGGCTGTGAAAGTCTTGACTCACAGATGAACACTATACAGAAGCCTGATGATGGCAGATGAGATTCTGCCGAAACGTTGCTACAACTTTAAAAGCACAACTATAATGATGTGGGAAAATACCCGAACAAAGCTGAATACCATACATACATACATACATACATACATACATACATACATGTGTGTGTGTGTGTGTGTGTGTGTGTGAAAAAGCACTCATGCGTCATCACAAAATCTCCAGAACCGTAAAGCCTACAAACTTGAAATTTGGCACGTATGTTCCTTCTAGGTGCTCACTAAGAAAGGATTTTTCGAAATGACCATCAGAGCATTAGTATTTCCTATATTATTATTAACACACTCTGATGCTAAGTAGTTCTACTCCCTCTCCCCACCTGAAAAGAAATCTGTTCCAAATGCAAAACACAAGCAAAGGAGAGGAGTTTCAGTTTTAGTTTCACAGCAGCAAACATCTTTACTACAGAACAGTTGAGCTAAGCCATGCCCAGGCTCCTTGCTGTCTCCTTCTTGCTCACACACCAAATAATGTTTGAGTTTCCAAACACCCCTCAACTCTCTCTCCCACTTACAGGACGCTAGCCAGAGGAATACCAATGGATGCTGGTAGGCAGAGGCAGAATTCCTGCCCCCCCCCTTATTTTCCTCCTCAGGTCAGACAAATCTACTGTAATACCAGTTAAAGGGAAAAGAGGCAAAAAATGCAGAAAAAGATTTACAGATGCCATTAGAAAAACACAAGTAAGGGAAGCTGCACATAAGTATCATCAAACTC